AACCAAATTTAATATGTAGATGTTTCATTTAATATGCTTTAAGTAATGTCTGTTTCTGTGTTATAAATTGAAAGGATTTTGTTTCTCCTACAAGTTAAACGGACATGTCACTGTCTAATGTGTGATCAAAGAAACCTGTGTTTTTTAAGCAGCAAATCAGCATATTAGAAAGATTTCTGAAGGATCGAAGACTGACGTCAAAGCTGAATTTTCAGTATCATTACTTCACAGTAATACATTACATTTTAAGATAAATCAAAATAGAAAACCATTTTAAATTGCAACAATTTCACAGTGTTTCTGTTATTACTGTAGTTTTAATCTAATAAATGCAGCCTTGGTGAGAATGAGACTTTTTCCGCCCAAAAACACTACAAAATCTTAGTTACCCCAAACTTACATTACATTACAAATTATTTTTCTTGTAGTAATAGGCTACAGTATATAACAGTACAACTTGTTGTCTGTAATGTATTGTTAAATACATTTACATATTAAAGGTGCTATGCCCGATCACACCAAGCACGCCTAACTATAAAGATAACGATAAAGATCGTATATATACGATCGGTGTGTTTTTAAAGTAGCGAAAATGGACCTGCTGCTGCTGCTTTACGTTACAAACAAATATCAAAAGAAAAACAGGCGCTTTTGGGTACAATACATCCTTAAAAGACGAGAGGAGTTGGGAGCACATCTAAACAGTGAATCTAGCAAGTCTAACAGTGAATTTAGCTGATGAAGTCAGTGATGGGATAAAAACATCACCTAGTCAACACCTTTATGTATACAACGCCTTTTTTTCTCTGCAACTTCAGCAAAGTTATCAACTAGCGCTGGATAGCCTACCTGAGGTAATTGTGTTTCACTATGTTAAACTGCATTATATCTCATTGTGAATACTTCTCACCGTTTATTCCCAGGATATGACCGATTGCTTTCCATATATCCATCTTTTTTAAGATATCCTCGAAAAGGGGGTTTGACTTGTCAAACAGTGGAGGATTTTTGTGTACCTCGACGATTAACTTCTCTAGAATGTCATCTGCCATTTTAAATGCACGAGACCTTTAAATTAGAATGGATTCTGATTGGTTGTGAGTGTTTTATCGTTGGACAGCTGGAAAAAAATCCTTCTGAAGGTGATCCCAACTCTTTATCGTTATAGTTGTGGTGTGAACTCTGTTATTCTTTAATATGGAGAACGATTTTTAGATCATGCTTGGTGTGAACGGGCCTTAACGACTCCAAATGATCTACTTTCTTCAAACTCTAAATGGAAGATAGGCTGTGTAATTTTGGTATTTTGTTTTTCCTCCCTGTGATGTTAGCATAGACAGTCCATGATGAGGGAACATGTTGCACACAAAACTCCTCACCAACTTTTTGTACACATACTGTACACTCAAACATCTGTGAGAGTGAATGGCCAAAGACCATCTCAAACAGAACCCACACACCCTTTCAAGACCCCCTCATTCTCTTCTCTCATATATCAGAAGAGAAGCACCTGAGGCACTGAAGCAATAATGTAGTATAAATGAAATTTCCTGCAAGGCTTATTGATGTCATTAAACACAAGCATATTGCACTTCACAACCATTTTAGTCTTCATCAGAGTGCTTGACATTTAGTGAATTAGGTACTGTTGAGCTGCCTGTGTCTTTCTATCGTCACTGGCGTCGCCCCCTCCACCACGGTCTGTAGAGATATCCGTCATCTCATTTAGGCCCGCTGACCGCTGACGAGCACTAATATCCCTTTGCATTAGCTCATTTGAGCCTAATGTACTTTTGCTGTTTGTAATCAAATAAGCAATAGCTTAGGCTATGCCTTATGGCTTTAAATGAGTATGCAACCATTACGATTACATTATTACTCTATCTAAAGGTTTCGCTTTTTTTTTTGTCCTGTGTCTTGATCGTGGGTAGGAATTCATATGCACATTTGTTTTGTTGCATATGCAGTCACAGATCATAGTTTGATTGGGTTTTTAGTACCCCATTAATGTATTAAATTTGATCTAGTTTAAACCAGTGGTTCTCAAATGGAATTGCTTGTTTTGTTTTCTATTGTCGACCCAATGCACTACCAAAAATCGGTTGCGCCAAAGTGAACGAAACTATAATTTGATGATTAGTTTTGACAAACTTGGCATGTCTTTATAGTTTGAGTGTTTTGTTTGTATTGTAAATTTCTTATTCATGCTATAGGTGTCATGCCATTGGCAGCCAACAATTCACAGCACAATTGATAATACATTTAGAACGAATCTGCAGTCAGTTTACCATTAAATTGCATTTTATATATACAATTAATATAATTAGATCAAATTACTCAACAGACCTATCAACTTTTTTTCATATTTTGGAACTGCAAGGCCCTGTCCCAAACCACGCACTTCATGCAGACTTTCGGTCTCGCGGACTTAGATTGCGCGCGCTCGCCGAGTCTACGAGTCCGTAGGCCGTCCCAATTAGCATTTCAAAGCTCTGAATTGTGCTCAGCAGCGCCCCCTTTGTACCCTTGAAGCGGTCCTCTACAAAGCCCGCATAGATGCAGGTCCATGCGCTTTAACTACCCAGGAATCCTTGCGAAATGCCAATCAGAAAACGGATGGGATTTCGGTCACAGCTGTAACACATGATGTAACTGTAATCAAGGCTGAGAAGAGAATATTTAAGTATCATTATGGTTTTTCTGACATAGGCGTTCCTTTTACCAGTTGTTACTTGCAGTTTATACAAATATTATCGACCGGTGGTTGATATCTCAAACATAATCATCGTAGGTAAATAATACGATCACATTATGATTCATTTACATAAATATAACCGAATATCATGGCTTTACGGAGTCATAAATGTAGTATGAATATTGAAACCATGTTTATTTTGTGTTAAAATTGAACATTATGTATTATTTAGGGCCGTGCAAAAATTATTTGCGATTAATCGCATCCAAAATAAAAGTCTGTGTTTACATAATATATTTGTGTGTGCTGTGTATATATAAATACACACACATTCATGTATATATTTAAGAAAATGTGTTATTCATATATAAAATATTTATATTTATATAATATAGATTATGCATTTATATATATATATATATATATATATATATATACACACAGATAATTCTTAAATATATACATGCATGCATAGGTATTTATATATATACAAAATAATTATATACAGCACACACAAATATATTATGTAAACACAGACTTTTATTTTGGATGCGATTAATGGCAATTAATTTTTGCACAGCCCTAGATTATTAAGTACAACTGCATTATCATTTACATAACTGTGACATCGATTCTAACGCCAATGGTGGCATAAACAATTATTGAACTGTAAAAGCAGGCTGTGTTCACATGGACGTAAGATTTGGGGAAAAAAAATAAATCCTTTTTTCGATGCTAAATACTATAATTTAATGTTTGTGATTTTTTTCTAATAAAGAGACTGATGAGATGACCTGTTTATTCATCTCCGTATGGAGAGGGGACTTGCGGACTCGCGCTAAGGGCCCTATTGGTCTGCACTACATGACGTCACCGAAGTGTGGACTCCACAAGTCCAGAGTGTGCCATTTGGGACAGGGCCCAAGAAAACTTGCCAATGCGATAATGTCAAAATGTCCAAATAACAGACAGTTAAAAAGCCTGAAAAAAATATCCATCAGTCGATGATTAATTGGAAGTGATCTTATAATTAATCTATTCTGAGTTTTACTTGCCCAATTTTGATCATGGTTTTTAAGATCATGTTGGGATAATCTGAATAGTTTGTTTCTGCAGGTTGAAGCACAAACTTTGACAAAACATGAGGATGGTTTCTCCTCCTTATAAGACAATCATTACTATGCACAATGAAATGGCTAGTCACACTTTATTTTTTTTGTTTTTTTTTTGTCGCGGTCAGCTCTTTCAGAACAGATCTGTCAGGGATTTTTTTTTTTCAGTTGAGGACCCCTGGTCTAGAGTCTAGACTATGCATATCACTGCAGATCAAGACCTCACACATTTATTGACACCAGCACAGCTGACAGTCTCAACCGTCAGACACGGATACATCTCCACCACCTTCACGCCTCATTCCAGTGGGGCATCTGTTAGTGCCTCCACTCGGGTGGGCCTAAAGTGCTCACGGAGTTGGCATAACTGGATCAGCGTGTCCTAGAAAATAAGCCCTGTCACACGGGGGCATTTTGGCTGACCGTTGCCAAATCACAACCACCATAAAACATCTTGTCTTAATTGGCGCATTTGCCATCCACGTCTTGAAACACTGTAGTTTCAGCTGTTGCAGATCGTGAGCTATAGCAAAACAAGAAAGAAATGCTGAAACTTGTTGATGTCACTGAACCATGAAACTTTTGGCCCAGGGCTGAAATTGCACTGTGTACACGTTCTTTAGCAATTTAGCTGCAGGGATAAACATACCTTACATCAACACGCTGTTTGTACTCTAGATTTGCCCCGCTTTAGGCTGACAGAACCCGTACACTCTGCTCTCTGTGCTGAACAAGTGAAATCCAGACAGTTCCAATTATCTCATTCACTGAGGCTGTCTAGAGTGCAACTGCGTGTACTTTGCATATATGGAAATGCTGTGTGTGTGTGGTTTTTTTTAGCCCTTTATATGTTCAGTTTGAGTTGCATTAGTGTTTTACAAAGTGAAATTGTTTGATTATACCAAATAAATAAATCACAATGGGCCTTTTTCACAGACTTTTCATATCACTATACTGTGTGGGTTATATTACCTTGGAACTAAATTACAGAAAACAATTTAATGCTGCTGTTTCTAATACAATGGTCCATCCAATATTGTGAAAAGGGTCCATCTAATATGCTTTAATCTAAGTCTCTCCTGTGCTTTTTTTAACATTCCAACCAAAGTTATATTTTAGTCTTGTTCTAAGCGAATTGGGGCATTTTTAAATTGATTTGAAAGACTCATAAAGATGTATCTTGTCTCCTGTAGATCATTACAAAGTATGTTTATGAACTCTTGGAGAATGACTGCAACCTGAAGAAGGAGATCCTTCCCGTAAGTAATGTCTTTTTTTTTTTCTTCTTTAAAAACTGTTTGAATCTAAACAGAATTGTTGTGAAAGCTGATGCAGTTGTGCTTTAAGAATACAGTGGTCTACTCTAAATTGTGTGAAAACGAAGTTTTAAAATGATAATCTTCAACACTTATCAACTCTCCAGGAGGAAAAATTGCATTTGCTCTGATGGTAACATTGTGTACGCTCAAGGAGATTCCTAAGGTGTGGTCACTGCATTCATATGAGCAATAATGTTATGATTTCTAGCGCGCTTTTTTAAGAGGCGTATCATTAAACTACACATCATTTTTGATAGCGGGTGTTTGCACTTGGTAGAAGTAGAATTTATGTCCTTTTAAAAGCACTGTAAATTACTCTCCATAAATCACCTGAACAATGCTGGCAGAGACTTTTATGAGCTGTTTTATTTGTGGAGAGTATTTACCAAATGATGTTCTTGGAGTCTGTATTGTCTTTCAGAGAGTTTCATGGGCACAGCTACCTGTGACCAACTGCATTTAGTGCTCAATCCATTTGTCAAAGTTAGTTTTAAAGAAGACTGCTCACAAAATGTATTTTGTTATTTTCTATCGTGTGATTTTATGAGCTTGCCACATAACTGATCACCTCACAGGAAGCATGTGGAAGTCGAGACGGATTCGTTGCAGTGTAATGAAGTCATCAGACGCAGACAGACAGTGTTGACTTCTCCGTGGCTTGGCAGTGTAGCTCAGCATTGAGCGCTGTTCATTAGAAATGATTCCAGGCTCTGACTCACTCTGCTGTTTCTGAGTGTCCTGCCCCACTTTAATAAGAGTAAATATAGTTGTTGACACATCAGGGGGCAGACAACACAAAAACACCTTTTATAATCAAACCGGGGTTCACAGAGTTTGGCAAGTTTGACTGAATGTAATGCAAACTTATACACAACAAGCAATAGACCACGTTATTCGCTCCAGCATTTTGGAATGCAGTGTGATCTGTGGTTTCAAAGTGCCCTAAGTATGTTCAATAATACAACAGAGACCATTTCCAAACGGCAGATTTCATTGGCTGTAATCTTGTACCCTGCTATAATTGGCGACCTGTGTCTCTGTTTGGTACTGATTATAATATTTATATTCCTTCAGGTCGATGCGACTGAGGATGAACCGAAAAGCTTTATTTACGTGAGCGAGGATGCCCTCACTAACCCGGAGAAGATCATGGTTCTCATCCAGGGCAGTGGAGTGGTAAGGGCAGGCCAGTGGGCTCGACGCCTCATCATTAATGAAGACCTCGACAGTGGGACGCAGATACCCTTCATTACCCGTGCCAAAGAGGTGGGTTGTAGTTTGTCTTCATTATGTTTCTCTTTTTCTTTTTTATGGTTTTGCAAAGGAACTCTGTGAACATTAGTTGTTTGTGCTGAAATAGTTTTTTGGATAAGGGTTGTGTAGGGCCTTGGGCGTATTTAATACAATTTATTCCAATTTCAAGTGTGTTTTATCAGTTATGAATTTATAGGACTTATATATAGACTACCATTCGATTAATTTAAGAAAAAAAGTCTTGTTTATTAAAAAAAAAAAAATATATATATATATATATATATATATATTCGAATAATTTAAGAAAAAAAGTCTTGTTTATTTGTTTATTAAAAAAAAACTATATATATATATATATATATTAAATTGATTAAAAAAAATTGATATCCATTTTTTGATATTGATATCAATTGATATCAATCATTAAATTGATAAAAAGTAGTTGCAGTAAAGACATTTTATAATGTTACAAAGGATTTCTATAAATACAATTCTATCAAAGCAATTGATTTTTCTATTAATCTATTTGCAAATAATCCTTAAATATATCACAGTTTTTTTTAAATAAAAAATATGAAACAATAAAAACTATTTTTAACATTTAAAAAATAAGCATCAATAAGTAAACCAGCATATTAGACTGATTTCTTAAGAATCACGTGACACTAAAGACTGGAGTAATGATGCTGTAAATTCAACTTTATCACAGGAATAAATTACATTTGAAAGTATATTAAAAGGAAAATAGTTATTTATTTTCAATTGTAATAATATTTCACAATATCACTGCGACAACACAACACATATTTTAAGGTGGCGTGGTTACACGTTACTGCTTGTACTAACAGCAAATTATGCATAATTACATGTAACTAACCCTAAACCAAACCATATCTCTATAGTAAGTGCAAGTAGTTAGTTAATTTTATTCCGTACTTATTTGATTAAGTACAATGTAACTGTCACCTTAAAATAAAGTGTAGCATTACTGTTTTTACTGTGTTATTGGTCAAATAAATACAGCCTTAGTGAGCATAAGACATGGGACTTAATTATTCTTAATTATCTGCATTATTCCAAACTTTTAACCTGTATATTTCTTATTTTTTAGTGCAAATATAAAGCATGATGAGTTTAATTATTAATATTAATTTGTTTTTATTTCCTTTTTGTTATATTTAATCTGGGGTTTGGCCTTTTGATTGTATGATCAGGGTGAGTAAATATGTGAACTACTGGTCTGATTGAACCAGTAGATTGTTTAATATCAATGAAAGTGATATCACATCATGCATGTAGTCTGAGCGACTGCTGTATCCATCTTTATTTTCTCCTCTGTATCCCTCTTTACTCTCACCGATCCATAGATATTTATTTACCCCGCAAAAGGAGCTGTTTTGCTGTTACGTGTGTACTGTAAACTGTAATTTAGATTTTCATTTCTTTTCTCTGTCGGAGGACGTATCCCCGAGTGGAGTTATTTCCGTCCATCGCGGCTAGTCGTTTGTCACGCCGCCCGCCGCTACCTGTGTAATTTCATCGGCCCGTGCGTTCAAATTGACTTAAGGGAGATCTCCCTCGCTCTTCCATCTAAATGTCATAAAACACACACTCACTCTCACACTGATGTCTGCAGGCAAAGTCACTTTTCGCACAGCGCCGGGAAAATACGGACAGGGACGGTGAGTTTGTGTGTGCGGAAGACAGTAAGGTGGCTTATTGCATTTGTGAAGGGGCGTACCGCGACGGGCTAGACGGAAAGAACGCACGCCGTGCTGTGCCGGCCATTCATCTTACTAAATAATGACCCCTGCTTTGCTGTGACATCATCATAATAGCATTTACAGGAAGAGAGATTCCAGTTTGTTGCGTGTGTGTCAGTATGACAAGAGAATGTGGCTGTCACTTTGCAATATTTGTATTGCTGAAGGGGTGCGGATGCGCTGTCTGATTCTTCATGTGACGGCTCGTGTTTGTGATTTCCTCTGTGATAAACAAGGCCACCTGAGGCCATGTGCCGAATACGCTCTGATCCGAGATCAGTCTGTTCTTTTAGCCTGTGAGATGTGCTATTCTGCTGGGAATTGGTAACACGCTCACAAACAGATTACACTGCTCCCTGATCTGTCCTGTGAAGCTTAATTACAGATTTTGGTGTGGAAATAAGATTGTAAAATAAAACAGGTTGAGTCTGAGTTGCTCGTACCGTACATTTTGATGTGGGCTGTTGTTGAGCATTGTCTTCATTAGCACATTTCCGGAGAAAACGCAGAAGGTCTCAAAGAAAGATGACTCAGCCGGGTCAAATGAGTACTGCAGTGGTTTTTGAAGACAGACCAGATATAATCAATCATTTTGGAAAACAAATAAAAAGAGAGAAAACACACAATCCACTGAGGACAAGGCTACTACCCGTTTGCTCCTATAGAAAGCTTGTATTTATTTTCAGTAAAGGATGAATTACATTGATCAAAAATGACAGTACAGACTTTTTTCCTACGTATTTTTATTTAAAATAAATGCTTTTCTTTTGAACTTTCTATTCATCAATGAATCTTGAAAATATGTATCACTGCCTCAACACAAATATCCAGCAGCACAACTGTTTTCAACATTGAGAATAATAAGAAATGTTTCAAAAAGCAGCAAATCAGAATGATTTCTGGAGGATCATGTGATACTTAAGACTAAAGTATTGGCTGGTGAAAATACATCTATGCCATCACAGGAATAATTTTAAAGTACATTTTAAAATGCATTCATAACCCCCCACAAACACACACACACAAACTATATTACAATATTCTTTTTTTTTCTGTATTACTGGTCAAATGCAGCCTAGGTGAGAATTAAAAAAAAAATCACTTTTAAACAATGCATTTTTGATATTAACTAATTGTTCTAAATTTAAATACATGACACACTGTAAAAAAAATAAAAAAATAAAAAATTAAGTAACCTTGCTGCCTTCAAATTTTAAGTTCATTGAAATGGAAACATTTAGTTAACACAATGGAGATTGATTTAATCATCAGCAACTCAAAATATTATGTTAGCTGAACTATATAAATTATTTAAGTTGTTTTGACAAAAGAAAAAAATGTTGTGATTACAAATCATGAAAATATATATTTTTTTTTACAGTGCAGCACTTACAATGTTATATTTCACATTATTTACAAAAAGAGACAAAATTCACACATCTATTAATTAAAATATTTTTAAAACCTTATATAAACACTGTAACTGCAGATCCAGGTGCTGCATCATGTGTGTAGGAGTTTAGCTGGTCACACGCCACTGACTATGTGCTAGTGAGTAAGGGAAAGACAGTGCATTATTCCCGCATCTGCACGCGCGTGACAGGCTTTGGGCGTCCACAGAAGGCCGCAGTGGCAGCGATGGGAAACGGGGCCAGAGTCTGACAGCTGGGCTACCGCGAGAGCGAACACGTAAGCACGTGTGTGTGTGTGTGTGTGTTTGAGAAAGAAAGCAAGCTTGCTTAATGACAGCTTATTCCTTCATGAGTTTAACTCCTGACAGCAGACAGCTCTGCCTGTTGCATCATGGTAGCAGTAGCAGAATCATTACCTTGTGACCTGTCAAAAGCTGGAGAGTTTCAGCGGAAGAGAGCAAGAAAAAGAGAGCAAGAGATTTAGAATTAATTTGTTTTGCAGGGTCAGAAATTGAGTGCCGTAAAGGTTTGGGTGAGATGTGAGCCCTAAAAAAAGGTGATTAGGATTACAAAGCCTGTTTAGAACTAGCTGACTGTTTATGCAAGTACGATTACATATGTATTTTGTGCAGCACTATTTTCATATAGCTGATTTAACCTCTTATGACCGACCCCCCTCTGCTCTCGTCTCGGCCAGCCTCTCTCTGACAGAGCCGGATTGATTGCTCACTCAGAGCATCTTGTTTAAGCCTGCAGTTACTCTGACATTGACCCAGCCAAAATGTAGCCGAGGCTAACGTGAGGACGTGACTGGAAAGGTGAGAGGATTTTTCTCTCTTGGACTCTCTGATGCAGGAAGCTCGCGATCTTTTTCCCTCTAGTGGCTCTCAGGAAGCATGAGTGAAAACGAGCTCTTGACAGAAGCAATAAATATACTGCAACTCTTCCAACACCTCTCCTTTCCTTCCTCCCTCCCTCATAGTATGTTCACTCACTCGTTTCATGCTTTATTCAGTTTTCCTCATCCCTGTTATCTCATCCAATCTTATTTTAGTTATCTGTAATATACAGTTGCAGGATCCCACCCAACCCCTTCTTTTTGTCTTTCTGAGTTCTGAAAGGAATGCTTGCATACTGCATATTTGTTTATTTTGTCTAAACCATTTTTTTTTATTATTATTATGTAAATCAATGCACAATTTTTAAGCATTGTGTTAATAACTCTATTTAGGTTTATTTTGCGACAGTGACTACGTTTACAGGCAGCCGTTATTATATTAGCAATATTAGCAATAACCCGGTCGCGAACGGCCATGTAAGCACCGGTAAAAACTCGAATTTGCTCATATCCTGGATTTTAAAAACTGGGATATTAGACCTGGGGTACCCCTTTTCTAACCCAAATTTTTGGTCATGTAAACGCGTATTTCTGCGCATGTTCTATTCGCAAGGAATCGTGCTGCTGTTGGTGTCTTTGGATACAGGAAGAAGAATCGGAAATGACGCATATTGCATCATAAGGTTGTCCGTACATCTAGACACTAACCGCGCGTTACCGTTTACATCGGGATATTGCAATTCCATGTAAAGGCTACAGGAGAAACTCTCTCTGCTCACGCATGTAAACGGGTTATTCCTAATGTTTCAGAAACCCGAATAGTTTGACCTTAACCCGACCATAACCCGAAAATTGGCTGCATGTAAACGTAGTCAACAATGACCAGCTGACTGTATTCACTTTTTTTTGTACCAGTTACTTGGCAAATAAGTAAATACAGTAAATTGACATTTAAGTGCATAATCAATGTGATATTATTTCACTGTATGAGAACAAATA